GGAATATATATATGAGAGAATAGAAATTTAGAAGTATCAGAGTATAAGAATAATAAGAATAAAGAGACGACAGGGAGAGGGAATAAAAGAGACATACACATGAAGGCGCATATAGAGAGAGGGGTCTGGGTCCTTCGTATGAGAAATCTGAATACAACAATACTGAAATTATACAAAAATAAAAAGAAAATAAACTAATTTACAAAAAATAAACCAAACAGAAAAATCAATCCAAATTAAAACGAAATAAACGAACCGAAACCAGCTAAAACCCCAAATAACGGGTTGATCCCGTCTCAACCAATGGGACATCCATTGTGGGAACGGTACCTTATTTTCAATTTTACCATACAAGTCCAAAAACTGAACTTCTACTTTGGAAAAAAGGAAAGAGAAAACTAAGAGTCCAAATAATTCAATAATAGTATACTATTTCATATTCCACTTTAACTACAGAGTACGAGTTATCAGCACTTACATATCCTATAACTAACAAACCCTATATGCTTATCACATTTGTATAAATCCCTCGTATTTATCATCTGACCGCTGTGGATGCACGGCGCCTAATAATTGAGGAGGTTGGGCATACAATGATTTGTGTGCAGCCTGTAACCGTTGCCCACGCAGCCCTAGTCTGCACTGTTTGGAGCGTGTCAGAAGGGGTTGGGCTGCGGTGATAATTTATTTGACTCGAGCATTTGAATTGGCTGCCTCGAACTATCACCCCAAGCCTAACATACTCTAATAATCTGGAGTCCAGTTATAAACAAAGACATCTCATCTTGACTTTGATACAAAAGTACATCCTGATCACCTTGGTTACCCCATCTTTGTACGAGTCACTTCCAGCGGAGATGTACTTGGTTCTCCGTTGATGTACCAGATGTACGATGTACGATGAACGATGTAAGATGTACTACCGCAGATACAGCTCGCAGAATGGGCGAGAACAGCAAGGAGAATCCTTTCCCTCATTATCCCATGTTCGTTATGTCATGTCCTACCCTCGGAGTTCTGCCCTCTGCCAGTCGCACTCTCGCACGGATACTAGAACACCAGCTGTCTTATTATTCGGCTCCTAACGGAGAATCCCTGTTTCAGTGCCTCGCCTACGGAATAGTTCGTGTTGGCTTCTTAACTTTGATTGATGGTTGGCCGGACATCCTGCGCCTCATTTTGTTTTTCCGCCATCTGATCTCCTGATGCATCGGAGCTCTGGAGAGGAGAAGTATCTCACTGTCTCTTTTCTGACTGATCCCCTGACCGGTAGTGGACCAATCATGTACTGGGGTAAGACGCTGGCACAGCCATGTGGAAGGGAATTGGTAAATTAGGTTCGCGGGCAGACGGAAAGGTTCGCGGGATAGAAAGGCAGGAAGACTTAAGCCGCGATGGGCTGGGAGTTGCATATGATGAGTTCTCTTTTCTCTTTGTTCAAAGGTACGGAGTACACGGGCCTGGGCCCCGTATGCTCGGGAGATCATTGACAGGTTTCTCCCAAGCCACTTCCGATTGGGAACAGCGCTGGATTGATTCGCTTGTCTACTCGGGTTTCTTTGTTATGATCCCGTCTCAAGATTCGCGTCTTTGTGTGTCTGTTGCCATGGATGCCGGCTGTATTGACGTATTGCGAACTTAGAGAGTCTAGGACATCGTATCAGGATATGGTCTAAAAGACTCCAATCAAAGTTATGACAGTAAGATCAGAAACCAAGCCCGTTACAGCCACTTTGCGGGAAGTCTCTAACCGCGTCATTCCAGGTTCTCCACTAACTTCAAAGCCAAGGATGTACGCGGTCCCGACAACACAGTCTATGGAGCCCAACTCTTACACACGGAGTACCGAGTAAAGAGGTGTAATTACCTGCAGGAAGCGGGATGAAATGCACCTGTCAGAGGGACGAACCCTGGGGCGACCGTTGTGGCCAAGGATCCTAATTTTGTTTGGACTCTGCAAGGCTGATTTGAACAGTGTTTGACCAGTCTATTCCAACTCATCAACTCATAACATCCACTGTTTCAATCTTCGCCCCTTATTCGATCTGGAATTTCGAATTTCAGGTACGCAAATCTAAGGGCCGTACCGAAAGGAAACCAAGGTTCGAATTGAGTGGGCCAATTCCCTTTTCACTTATATTTTTTTCTAGACCGCACAATTTTATTACCATTTGGGAAAACAACGCGACGTGGGGTACACACCGTGTACAATATACCATATGAATTGTACGGAGTACAACATTGTACAATACCACAACATTCACTCTCAGAACATATTCCACTTTCTCCCACTTTCGAGTCTATGATTCGCTGAGCGGGGCTTTCCACTCCACGCGCACCAAAGACAAGCCAATCATCACGGACCAAAGATCAGTAGTCTGATGGAGTCTATGCGCCAACAATGCCATTGGCCCCATCACCGAAGACAACCCACTTCATCAAGTTGTTGTGCCTCGCCTTCTTATCCCTCACAATTGCCTAGTCACGCACCGTCGACTCGGGGGACTACGGAATGCTCCACGGTGGGCCTCATCTAGGCCAGTCCCAGCTACCCGCGGAGGGCCGCGATAGGGGGAAGGATCGCAGTGTCGCCACTTAGGAAAGGAAACTATTTGCTTCCCAGTTTGCCGGGAGGCGCCGCCGTGTTCCTTCGCCCTTCGAGAAGGCGGTTCCTGGCAACGTGATCATCGAATATTCGAGTTAATTGCTTGTCAACGGTTTCGCATGGGGTGATTATTGCTTAGACCTTGACTCCATAAAGCGAGAGCTTGTCGGGGGACAAATCCGACTTGGCCGATCTCTTGCCTCGTTGCCCCCCTAACAGGCAACCTTCTTCTTTGGAGACTAACCAAGCTGACCAACGACGAACACACGACCACATGGATGTTCATCCCGAATTTCCTAGGGAACTTCCTAGCGACCGTTGGCAAATTACCAATTTCGAGATTTAGACCTTCTACTTACCACACTACCTTCGACACTAAATTACCGCGGCCCACTTCAAACGCCGAAATGTCTGTGTGAATTTCCAGAATCCGTGGAAGCCGCGGGAAGGACACACCCCCTTGATCGCTGGGACTGTCAGATCTGAGTCCAGTAGATTATCCGTCCCAACTACGCACGAGGATGGACCTAACCTAGCTTGAATTGGCCCTCGGTACTCCGTACTCCGTACTTAAATTGTTTTCATCTAGAGTGGTCCCACTGTCACTCCAGTAACCTTAGATTTATATGAAGCTTTTGCGCATCGGGAAGGTGTCTACAGCACAATACACCCACAGACAGACTTTCACTTGCAGAGTCAATTAGCACTGGCCCTCAATGCCACCTAGCGTACGGAGTACATAGTGGCAGTGCCGTTTACTGCGTGTCATCCATTGATTCTCTTCGGGTTCAACTTTGGCTTTGGGTATATTTAGATCGCCAGCTAAGGCGGCCGCAACGTCTTGCGTACCACAGTAATGTATCTACATTTGAAGTGAAAGTTGCCCCTCCTCCCTAACCTGCCCCCTGTCGTGCTGCCCAAACTGGGTCCTTATGTATGTCATATCTCACTAGCTTATCCCATTGCTCTCTGGGAACTAATGTCCGTGGTCCAGTTGCTTTTGAAACTAGCCCCTGTCGAGATCAGGGGATCCCCCTATGTTGTATGCAGAGTAATCAATTCTGCTTCTATTTGAGGGTCTCGCTCCGCTTCTTTCTATGCTTTTCTAGAAATAAAATAAAGTGGTTTCAAATGCCAGTGCCTTGAAGTGAGGTGAGAATGCTGATTGATTTAATGTTACGCCTTTTTGAAGTTTCGCAAGAGGCTTTTTTGCTGTCTCTGTTATTGCCCTAGTTAGTTGCTAAGGAATAAACTTAATAATGTCTAAAGTGACCTTAATCAACTATGCTCTATGTTTTCTTCCTAGTTAAAAATATAATACCACAACCTCAGACCCCCGGAAGAGTGGTGGCTATGACCGAGTTTTTGGGTGTCTTTTTTATAGATCCCCTCACCCTCCTCCCCTCATGCCCCCTTTATTGGTGCTGCAGCTAGGAGGATAAGAAGAAGTAGCCGTAGGACATAGAATATAGTGAAAAGGATGTAAATGCTGTTCATTGAATGGTGGTGAGTAAGCTACTTCGATTTAACGTCGCTTCGTTTTTGAAGGGTTTGCAAGAGGCTTTTTACTTTCTACGTTATTGCCCTACTCAGGAAAAACGTACCTAGGTAAATCCAAGATGGCCTTGACTATGCTGTGTTTTTGCTTTCTAAAACAATGCATTGATATTCTTTGATTGATGATAGCTTTCACCTGCATGGTATCTACATACGCAGCTGTGTGCTCAGCTATTATATATCTATAGATTTGACAATAATACCCTGAACTAGCCCTCTTTTCTTGGTATCATTTCCACTTTCATGCTTCAGTCCTCCTTGTTGAGCAGAGATCTAAAGCCAAAGGAACAAGCAAAACCATGCTCGTGATGGAAAAGCAAATTTGAGGTGATTGAAGTGGCCAGCCCAAAGCCCTCACTTTCGGAAAGAGCAACCCACGCAGTTTCCTCATTGCGCCTGCCTCTGCCAATATAAATCGACTGTTGCCCTCCCTTCTGTTTTCACTTCTTCACTCACCCGTGGACCTTCGGCTACTACACCCACTCTGTGTAGTATCCTGCGACCTATGCAAGTTTTTAACTGGATTTTTTGTCTTTCTGAGATACCACCATTTTGACCATGCCTCAGCGACGGAGACGGGCCCCCATGAGTCCGTTTGCGCGGGGGTACACCCCGCAAATGCGAGAAGCGTCAGTTACTAAATCTCACCTTACGAAGCAAGGTGGTCGCTAACAAAGTATCGATAGTGTGGATCGAATGCCGATTCCAAACGAGTCAGTATTTCCATCCGTCTTGATCTTCATCTGCTCACCGTCATAGAATCAAATGTTGCGTCTGCAAGCGGCGTCGTCCGAAGTCCCAGTACTCGAACAATCAACTGAACTACCTCCGCCAGGCAATGTTCGAACTTGGCTACAGTAACATTCGTGACCAGCAGGTTGCTAAGTGTGGCCCATGCACGAATGCTCAGGTTTGCGAGGAGCTATGTCATAATTGCGGTCATTACCGTGCCATTGACCAGTTTGCCAGAAACCAACGGAATCGCGAGAACCCGGTATGTGTTTTACCTTTTTTGATCTTTGCACTTTGACTGCCTAATACTTGGTTGATCTCAATAGATCTGCCAGCCCTGCATGAACTACCAGATGTCCCTCGATCCTGTCGATTCTGTCGATAAACCTCTTGCAATAACGGACAAAGTTGTCGTTGAGGATAAGGGAGAGGACGAGGAAGAGGAGCTCAACTCTGAATCTGCGGGTCGGTCTGGGTCTGTGGGACACGCTGAGTCCGTCGATCTCTTTAGCTCTCAGAGTCAGCCGGTGAGTGACCGTAACTATATCAGCTCTGGCCAAGTCTTGGTTACTCATGCATATACTTTCCCCGCAGGAGAGCCTGGAGCAGGTCATCGAGACAGCTCTTGTTCTGCACGATGATTCCACGGATAGTGACAGTAGTGGGAACCGGAGCGGCTTTGCAAGAGTCAAGGTGGGTGACTTCATTCCAACAGAACTTCTATCGCTCTGAATGAACTTTGTACAAAACTTTCACATCGTATAGGCGCACAAACCTCGTCAGGAGCCTGTTCCTGCCCCCGAACCCGCCCCAGGTTGGGCACCCGGTACTCGCAAGGTCAATGACGGCACTCCTTGGAAAGGGGGAAGGTTTCTCTAATTGTTTTCAACATCGTGCCAGTGCATTTCAACCAACAACTCTCTCGGTTTATGATTGACGGGGCTTCTGTGAGTACTGTGAGCACTTCGGCTGCTAGGTTGCGGCGGGGTTGGCGGCCCACGGCTTGCTCTCTTCTTCTTCTATTTATGTAATCATCTGTGCTTCTCTTGCGTCCACATGGTTTTATCTCCTGTGTCTGCTTCTGTCTACCCTGCCTGGTTCATTCCCTGTGTCTGCCCATGCTTGGTATCCATCTAGACGCCCCTTTTTCCAAGGTTGCTCTTTGCTAGCGCGGCGCGAGTTTCTAGCGTTCCAGCCATGTGCCTGATGTATGTCTTGCAGACAACTTTCTTTCATATTCTGATTGACGGGGCTTTTATCTACAGGGTGGGGTGGACTCAAAAGTCCGTGCCTGATATAAGCCTATCTAATGTCTTCTTTTCTTCTTTTTTTTTGGCTTTCTTTTCTGGAGTTCCTAGGGTTGATTATGTTTTATGAAGATCCAGGTACCAATCCAAGCTTACTTCCAATGTTTGTGTTTTCCCCTTTTTGAACTACCATGGGTCGGGAGACAACAGTGCCATGGTAATGACATCGGTGGTCCCGTTGACCCCACCTACTATAAATAAATCGTCAGCTTGTAGTTCGAGTTCATTACTATGTTGTATCTAATGTTCCATCTTCCATCTATTTTTGTTGTTCGAAAGGTTATAAGAGCAGCGACAAACTGATCAACCCCCTAACTAAGGCCTTGCACTTGGAGTTTCCAATAAACTTTTGGTTAGTTTGTTCCAATGAGGGCATCAGATCATAATGTGAGCATGGATGAGAAGATTCTAGCTCTACAGAATATGTAGACAATTCTTATGACTAGAATAGTATCCTGATCTGTAGATTGGAGCCCCAACCATCGGATCCAGGCCGACAGTTGGCAATGACATCGCCTAATCTTTGAAATAGTGTCTTTCACAACTCTGATAGGTCCAAGGGAAACTATAATGCACGCATCGCATGGAAGATGCATGTAAAACCCGCAGTGCTTGCTAGACATTACCAAATGACGCTCCGTTAGTCTGCCAATCGTGTTGCTCTGACCTAGTCAAGCAATATGACAGAACATATGTGGGACTTTAATATGACAACGGGCCCTTTTCTAATATATTAACGAGCGATCGCATAATATGACGTCGAGGGAGTACAAAGAGAATAATCTTAAATCCGCCTTGCTACGATGTGTCGCCAATCGCCACAACATTTCACTTGCCCCCCACTAGCCCCTCCACCATAATTTATTGGTAATTCGTCATCTTTCTGCAATTCTTCTTTCTAGAACTTCTCTCCAAATCAGCTATCTGCTTGCAGGGGAAAATTGCGCGTCAAAAGAGAACAGCCCAGCCACATCTCAATCTCCGAACTCCCGTATGGCCTACAATGGAAACTACGCCAGGAATACATACCAAACGGGCAAAATGAACCCAGATCCAAACGGATATGGGTATTCGCCAACACCTCCATATCCATCCCGCAACGAATCAGCCTACCTGGACATGCCACAGCCACAGGCGCCGCGGACTGGTTCGCCGGCCCCGAATCCAACTCCACAAGCATGTAACTATCCGGAACCCCAGCGCTCCTCCCCAAACATGCACACTGGGCACATAGACAATGCAGTGAGCTCCGCATTCCACAATAGTGGCTCCACAGACTACCTCTCCCCAGAAGTTCTATCGCAAATCACAGCATCAGTGATCCAGCAGCTCAAGACAACTGGGTTAGACAACCTACAGGGATCTGGTGCGCGCCCGCCCCGCTCGCAATCACAGCAGCCACCATGGCAAACAGACAGCTTGCTACAGCCGCATGCACAGTCCCCGCCTACCATAACCCCGCAGCGAAGCAGCTCTATCCCCCTGTCCAGTTCGGCCTCCGACAACATCCATACTGGGAATTTCCAGCCATACGTCTCCTCCGATTACAATAGTGATAGTCGTCTCAGCCCAAAACCTATGGCTGATCCTCTTGCAAATAGACGTGGCTCTATATCGAGTCAGAATAGTGATCGGAGTCATCATAGCCACCTTAAGGCGGAGCGTCCGAAGCCTCCGGATCAGGACGCTACCGCTATGGAGACGACTACTCTGGAGCGGATTTGGGGGAAATTGTTTGAGGATGGTAAGGCGACGAAGAGGCTTGGCCAATTCTTACGTGGGATTGCGGTCCATCTGGTATGTGGACTTTTGTCCGTTCTGATATACTGCTGATTTTGATGGCTAACCTGAGTAGATTGAGGACTATCCGCCGGGAAACACTATTGTCATTCCCCCTCACAAGTTGCAAAAGTTCTATCGTGATACTCACGATCCAAACGACCCTTATCCATGGCAAGGTCGGTGGTGATCTGTTCATTGACATGTCATATTCTGACAAAATATTTAGACGTCTTCGACGATCGTACATCTTCGATATCCCGACTATTCCGCGAAATCAAGGTCGAACATCATCTTATCCAAGAGGATATAGAGAAACGCCCAGATATCCCAGGCCTAACACCCAGAGGCTTCGAGACCTGGGAAACCTTGATGATCCTTGCGAACCCTGGGCGCGAATACGAGCGGCTCCAAAAGGCAGTCCTCAACATGCCCATCAACAACCCAGACGACAAGAAAGAGCGCTTCCCAAAGGAAATCCCACGCCGCCTCTTCCCAGAAATCGGAGATATCGAAATCAGAGAAGACATCGAGGACCGCATGATGATCCACTGCGGCGTCGATCTACCATACATCACTCCAGAAGAACGCAACCAATCCGCCGCCCGACCAACCCGATCATCAACCAAGACTGCATCACCTGCAGAGCGAACCCACTCATACGAGCGGGGCCGACCCCTTCCCACAGGCTCGATCCCAAGGCCAGGTCAGCAATCGCACCCAAGACCCGCCCCGGCCGTCACAGACGACGAGGAAGACGAGCCCATCCCGTCAGTGCCAATTGAGCGCGAACGCAAGCCGTACAGCGCAAATCCAGGTGGTGGCAAAATCTATGAAGAATCCACCCCGAGCCGGAGTCACGCGGCCTCCTTCTCGACGTCCCGGCCCTCAGACACTACCAACAAGGGACCGGCTCCGGGACCGGCTCCAACACACCGCATGTCGGAGTCCTACGACCGCGACCCGCAATACTCACACTCGGGATCTGGTCATTCTGCTGATAAGCGGTTCTCTGACTCCCGGAGCTTGTCGCAAAGTGTGAATCACCCTGCTGGTGCTGGTGGTGACTACAGGCATTCGGAGAGTGATTTGCATAGTCGCGACCATTCGGGTAGATATGAGCTGTTGGAGCATCTCAAGCCGCCTACTACGCATCCGCATGAGGATAATGGGCGCAGGTATAATCATGGTAGTCGTGGTAGTGATGAGGAGTATTATCGTGGGAGTGGGCAGGGTGGGGTATCTAAGTCTCACGCTTTTACCTTATCGTAGATTTGCTTGATGCTTTGGTGTCTTTTGTTTCTTTTTTTGGTGATTATTGTATGTCGGGGTAATCGTTCTGTTCTCCTGGCTCTCGATCTCAACCTTCGGTCTTGGTTTCAATTCTTTTCAAGCTCGGCGTTGCATGGATACGAAGATACCCCTTCTTCTGGGGTTGTGCATGACTGACGATACATATCTCATGATTCATGAATTGACGTTTTGTTCTGTTCCGAATGCATGTGAGGTTATAATTTCATCAATAGCATCGGAATGAAAATGTGCAGCGCATACTCAAGTTTAATCCATCTCAGCCTGACCTCCAAATCCAAACTTCCTCATAACCCTCTCCCCATCCTCTCTAATCTTCCTAAGCTCCTTCTCCCTTTCATTCTCCTCCTTCTCATATCGACGCGCAATAGCTCTAGCATGTCTCTCCTCACGCTCAATCTTCTTCCTAGCAACCCTCTCCGCGCGCCTCTTGTCCTCCAACGCGCGCTCATCACACCTCTCAGCATCGTCACGCAGCTTCTCGATCTCCTCATCAGTCAACACCCACGGCACAGACAAGACCTCAATAAGGAACCGCAGGCGGGTATCCAGGAACTGCATTTCAGCGTTCGTATCGCGCACGAGCCAGAACCGCTCGAGGTGTAATTGTATCTGGGAGCGGAAGGTCGATAGTGTCCCTTTCACTCGGACTAGCGTTCCTGGTTGGAGAGCCGAGATGTCTATCTCGTCGTGGTCTTTGGAGGTTACGTGTGTTGTTTGGGCGAGGCTGCTGGCTGTTGGCGCTGCGAGCGTGAATGAGGACCATGCTGCTTTTTCTGGGCTTGCGGTAGATGATGGCTGGCTAGTGGTGCTGGGTTTCGGTGTGTCCTTTTTTAGTACGGATATGTCGATTGTTGCGCCGCTACTGTCGTCTAGTATTAGGATCGTGCGCCGTGGGATATCAGTTCGCGCCACTATGATGCCTACTAGGCTGACGAATTGTATTGGGTGGTTGTTGTAGAAGAAGATGTTTTGGCCTGTGGGGTTTGTTAGTTATGTGGTATTTGTGCATAGATAGGCTCGGCGGTGGCTTGGTTGGATGGGAGGGAGCTATTGGGTAATAGAAAGACAGAATATGTTTGAGATATGTTGGAAATGCATGACAGAGGGCATTGGAATAAGTGTAGAAAGCTCGGGTATAATGAAAATGAAGTATGGACAGTCTAGTGGAAGATATCAAATGATTCTTCACGCTAGCGCCTCTTTTTCGAGCCTCCACACCAGAGGATCCGTAAATCTGCAACATGGGCGCTAGTCGCGTCGATCTCCAGGGGACACAAAGAAATGGGAGCAGACTCGGAAAAAGAAGTAAATACCCAAAAAGTCATTCGATTTTCGGAGACGCTGCACATCGGCCGCGCCCATTTTCACCCAGGTAAAGTGCGTTGGTGACGCCTTGAAGCAGAACGCGGGGTAGAATACGAGGTTCTCATTGCTGACCGTTGCCATCGGTTCATCTTTTTTTTCTCGGGCTTTCTTGTTCTGGAAATATCAAAAAGATAGAAGATATAAAAGTTGTACTCTGAACTGGAAGCTGGAACTGTTGCCCAGGTGAAGGTCGGGTCGGGGTCACGTGATTGTATATAAATACGGTCGTGGGGCGCGTCTTTCGGGTTTGCTCAATGGAAATATTTTGGGTATCTGCATGTTGTCAAGATATAGAGTGTATCTCGGTGACCTCAAAATAATTCGATTGATTTACTCATACCTCTTGACCTTCTAGGTCATCGTCTCATTAGGACCTTCAACCGGCCCATAATGGCACTGAAGCACATAATTGCTGATTCCCCGTGCCACTTCTAATACCATGATACCCACAATCTCTATAGATAGACATGCTTATCTCCCTCCATCATCCTCTTCATCGGATTCCTCGGCATTGCCTCCTGCCTCTTCCTCTCTTCAGCACTAATATCATCAACATTAGTCTCCTTCTCCCCCAATGCAGCCCTAACCTCCTCCTCCGCATTCTCATGCCCCGCAAAAGCAACAGTCAAAATCTCCCTCTCCAACCCACCAACGTGCTCCCACTCAATGCCCTTCTGAGTCAACATCCGACACCCTTCAGACTCGCCAACAAATGTGCCAGGCTCCTTAACCCCAAAATAAACCTTATGGATTCCTTCTCGCCCGCCCTCCCTTGTCCGCGTGATGCGCTGCACACACGGTCCATTCCCAGACAGCCGCTTCCCACACGGCTCCATCGTGACGTACATGACAAGCTTGCGGCCGGGCTCGACGGGGAGGACTTCGCTGACTTGGTCGTCGGCGACTTTGTGCACTGCGGCGTAGTTGGCGAAGCAGCATTGCTCTGCGTGTGTGTTGCCCGCGAGCTCCATTGTGTACCCCGTTGAGAGGATCCGATCGTCTGTGAAGGTGGGGTCGTTGTCTTTGCGGGAGAGCAGGACTGCGCCGACTCGGAAGTTGGTGGGTCTTGGGGGTGATTGTTCCGCTAGGGAGAGGCATTGTTTTATGTAGGGTATGTGTGGGGAGGTGTTTGTCGTCATGGTGAGTGATGTCAATTGCGATTTGGGTTGGATGCTCGGTGTGGGAAGGGGATGGGGTAAGGTTGTTGTTTTAGATGTAGAATGAAGATTTTGATCTGGACGGTCTCTGCAGCTCTTGAAATGCGACGAGAGTGTTAGAAGTGGCGCTGTCGATGAGCTCGGAGTGCTTTCGATTAGCAAGGCGGGGAGCAGCAGCAAAATGACGAAATGGCCCCGTCGCGTCTAAATCGCGTTCCGTTTCTCCAACCTACGCTAGTATAGTCGACCCTTCTATTGGTCTTTTATCTATTAAATCCTAATTCGGTGTAATATATCTAAATTGCACTCAGTCCTTCCTCCCAGTGCTCGAGCAACCCAAAAACTCATACCTCGTCACCAAAAGCTTGCAATGGCGAAAGACGCGAAACCCCAAAGCCATGCCTCAGACGAGGACATGCCGTCTGTCGAGGAAGACCTCTATAAGATTCTAGGTGTTGCATCCGATGCAACCCCAGAAGCCATCAAAACTGCATACAAAAAGAGCGCTCTGAGGAACCATCCCGGTACGCAAATCCGCGCAGACCCGAAAACATCCAGCATACTAACCCCAGAGCAGACAAAGTGAGCGAGGAAGCTCGCGCAGACGCCAACGCAAAGTTCCAACGAATCGCACTGGCATACGGTGTACTCTCCGACGCACGCCGACGAAACGTGTACGACCGGACCGGCAGCACGGACGAAGCCTTCGGCGAAGATGGCGACTTCAACTGGATGGATTTCTACCGCGAACAGCTGTCAGCGATGCTCGACTCACGGGCGATTTCGGACTTCCAGAAGAAATACCAAAACTCAGAAGAGGAGAAGAAGGACCTGCTCGCAGCGTATGAGACGCATGAGGGCAACATGGATGCCATCTACGATACCGTGATGTTGTCCAATGTACTAGACGACGATGAACGGTTCCGGGGTATTATTGACCAGGCCATTGCGGATGGAGAAGTAGAGGACTTCGACCGATATTCCAAGGAGCCCGAGAAGAAGAAACAGCAGCGTGTGAAGAAGGCGCAGAAGGAGGCGCGGGAGGCGGAGAAATTGGGGAAGGAGATTGAGGATAAGAAAAAGAAGAAAGCTGGGGCTGCGACGAAGAGCTCGAAGGCTGCGGCGAATGAGGATGACCTTTTGGCTATCATCACTAAGCGCCAGCAGGATCGTGGTGCGGGCTTCCTCGCTCGTTTGGAGGAGAAGTATGCGCAGCCTGGGAAGAAGCGTGGTGTCGATGATGAGCCTTCTGAGGAAGCATTCGCTGCTGTTGGGGCTCGGAAAGGAACAAAACCTAAGTCCAAGAGGGCTAAGGCTTGAATTAGGGTCTTTGTTTCCTCCTGTAGCATTCATGTGTCATGTCTAAGCGTTTATCATGTCGGTTTAATAGGAGTCTTTTAATTCTATACCACGATACCTCTTCATTTTTCTGTCTATAACACTGGTGTGGGAAACGTACATCCACAAATATATTCAGACATCTAAAGAGACATCCAAAAACCATTATACTATACTAAAAGACATTCTGAAAGATATTCAACAAGGCATGTTAGAAGATGTCTACATGGAGCCACTGTGGCTGAAGTAAGAAGCCTCAACTTAGGCTCCTTCCCCAGATCTACATTTTTCTTTGCTTTCTTTCCTTTCCTTTCTGTTCTTTTTGTTTTAATCATCCCAAGAACAACTTACGCTGTGCAAAACAAATGGGTAACACTTGGTCTTAACCTTTTTCAGTTGCTACGGTAGAAAGCACTCATTCGATTCCGCAGCGACCGAAAGGTTACTCTGGGGAAGTACTGAACCCTAAACAGTGGAGGCCCCTAATAGAGGCAAGACTGCGTCCTCACGCGTTGTTCGACGACTTTGGGACGACCTTGGCAGACCTTCCCGTGTTAGCCCCACCACTCCGCTCACGGCGAGGACGACTCTTACGGTCCCCACAGCCCGGAGGCGGTGTCGTCATGTCGTACCACACTGGTCGAACTTCTCCCGAACAACTGAAGAGCTTGGATGGTCGGTCTACAATATCAACAATAACTGACAAACCGACGAGTCTAAGCCGTGTCCTGCAGAACCTACTGATTGCCCCACAGTCTAAGGTTGCGGGCGGGACAACCTATTCGCCCAGAGCAGGCGGAACCCGCAGTCCAGTCGAGCCACTCGTATCATCGCCTTTGCGCATCAGTTCTTCAGATATGGCATCCGCCCCAAGTTCGCCGGAGAGGCACTCCGCCGATCGCGAGGCTTTCCCTCGTAGATCATCCGACCAGGTTGTTGATGCTGTCCGCTCAACCACGGGTCGCCTTGGCATTGACAATGATGCAAAATCTGATATCGCTTCTACTTCTTTAGAACAGCCACTCGCCAAAAAGCGATTTTTGCAGGCTCGAGATAGGTCCCAGAGCCGCAAGGGTGTGGCTGCCATGATGTCTGGCCGTCTCTTCCCGAGAAGCTTTTCCCGTGGCAGGGACAGAGACTCATCTCGGGGATCTTCCCAGCGTGGATCGTCTCTCGACTCCCGTTCTGCTTCTTCACCGGAGCGTGGTCGCGCCAGTTCCCCCGGCAGTCATTCTGTTCACGTTGAGACCTTAACACCCGCCCCTGTTAGTTCAAGGAAAGGGAAATCGCTCAACATGCACGATACATTCAACAAGTCAGACGAGGCATTGGCTAAACCCCATGGAAGCCTACCTGATTATATCAAACCGACGGCTGTGGAGGAGGGAGGGGAGCGACTAGCCAAAGATGTTTTCGATCGCGACAAGAACATGATTGAAAGCAGCGAAGATGAAGCCAACTATAGTTCGAGCGATGAAGACAGCGCTCTGGAGGGTGTACGAGGCCGCAAGAAAAAGAAGGACTCGGATATCACGGCTATTACGCCAAGCGACTTTGGGAGATCCAAGGATGACAATTCCAAGCAGTCCGAAGAACGTACGTTGTCTTCTCGGGACTTCCGCTGAATGGGAATTCCAGCGTACTAATCTCACATTGTATAGAAAAAGCTCCCGAAATTCCAAGCGGACGACAGGAGAAGAAACCGCGAAAGTCTGCTTTGAAAGCTGTGGTCCATCCACAGACCAGTTTCGACATTCCCACCCCGCGTGTTCAGTCAGTGGCTGGCACCCCTTATGGCTCAGAGGATGAAGCCGAGATCGATGACATTCATCGTGCCCAGAAGCTTAGCATTTCGATGTCAGCTATTGATAACGGTGTTCACAACCGATCCATCCGTACAATAGTCCGCGGCAACTTTTCAAGCCCGCAGGATCAAGGCGATGGGAGCCGCCATCGCCGTCGGAAATATTTAATCGCAACCGACTTGAGTGAAGAGTCCGTCTATGCCCTCGAGTGGACCATCGGCACGGTCCTGAGAGATGGAGACACGATTTTCGCCATCTACGCCATGCACGAGGACTCCACTACTGCGTCAGGGGTGCAGGTCGGCGAGGGAGCCAAAGTGATGAAAGACGCAACGGCTGTCGTTGGCACCCAGACGAAAGAAGCCAACCAGAATTATGGATCCCGTACGATCCTCGGTCTACTTGGCCCCGGTACTGCCAGCAAGACACATTCTGCTGATTCCCGGGCATCGTCAATAGCTGAGGCGGAACGAGTGAGGGCAGTTGAGACTGTTTCTCAGACCTGTGTGAAACTGCTGCGGAAAACGGTCTTGCAGGTCCGTATAGCCGTGGAAGTGATCCATTGCAAGAACCCGAAGTCTATGATCACTGAGGCTGTAAGTGTTTCATCTGCTCTCAACCTCCTTATTATCTCTGGTCCATACTTACAGTGACTCTCAGATTGATGAACTTGAGCCCACACTCGTTATTGTGGGTGCCCGAGGTCAGAGTGCACTGAAGGGGTGAGTGACACTTGAATTTCTGGTCGTGCTGCTGGAGACAATACTAACCTTACCTTTAGTGTTCTCCTCGGATCGTTTTCCAACTATCTTCTTTCTAGTTCCTCTGTGCCGGTAATGGTTGCACGCCGAAAGCTGAAAAGGCATACGTGGAAAGACAAGCTCAAGGGCACTGCGAATGTGCGCCTATCCAATAATCTAATTACCCCGAAGAGCCTTGCTCAAGCCAAAGTGGACTGATCCACCGTCTTTCCTCTTTCTTTGTGTTCATTTCTGGTTTGCATTTTCATGGATCGGATCATGGCGAGGCGCCACTGCATCTAAATGGTGCGTTAAAGAGGGTTCTTGATTGGGTCTTCGGTATTATCATTACTCGTCTTTAGCGAAATCTTCCAAGGTTCCAAGGAAGGTTATTCCTAATTGCTTAGTATTGGCGTCTAATGTATGACACCTTGAGCGAAACATATTCGCCTTTCACTGGACTTTGTACAATATACATAAAACATAAATTAATTCATAGGTCATTGCTTAATTCATAAGTAACTCTATTTTGTGGCAACCGAAAGTATGTGTCGGGCTTAGACCTGATGCCTAGACCCGATGAGCTGCTGGGCGTCTACCACAGCTCAAGAGTCAGACATTATCTCTGATTTACGCCCGTGCATACTCCGTACAGAGATGATAGCTTTCAGAAATTCGTTCGATCTGTTGAGTCTGGGATACGATAGGTGCAGGCATCGAACTACACTGGGGCTACAACATCCCTGATGGCAGACAGCAGGGTTCAAGGAAAGCGCCAAACTGCCGCCTTGAGCAAAGAAGCTGTCTCACTTTGGGAAATTCGGCTTATTGTGGAGTTGATGCATAATATTCTAGATCGCAGATATTTTTGCTTTTTCCGAGTCGCTAAATATGGTTTGTTCTGATGCTCTTTTTGGTTTTGATTGTCTCTGACAACAATATAAGCACCACAGCGAAGAGGACTCGGAGCTAGTACGAAACTGCGTCAAGTAGGATTATTATTATTTCTGCTTGTTGGGGTAACTGCACAGTTCCCACCATCGATCAATGCAGATGATGTTGAGGTCAAGACCGTCTCATCACCCGCCGATACCACTGCCGGGCACTTGCAAGATGGCCTTTAGCTCGCAAAAGCAGTACACGAGCTATGTCAATATCCCGCCTTCTACTATAGCTCTGATAAAGCAGGATTACCCCATCAAAACATTCTTTTGGTTTGTGGGGCGTGCGAGTCGCCCTGATATACGGCGACAGCGACTACATCTGCAACTGGCGAGGCGGCCAAGCAACATCTTTCGCCGTAGCCGCAACAGCCTCAAACTATACATCCTCCTTCAATTCTCGGGCTATGTCCCCAACATCAAGAACGAGAATTCTATTGACGGCGTTACCCGACTGGCCGGAAACCTCTTATTCTCGCGCACTTACGACGCAGGCCACAAGGTCTCAGCTTATCAGCCGGAAACGAGGTTCACGACTTCAGTCGTATTGTCCAGGGCGGAAATGAACTGTCTTCTGGTCAACCTGCGGATCTGGCTACGTTCAGGTCTCAGGGCAATGCTAACTCGACCGGGGTCAATCATGCCCCGCCTTTGGCTTCGCCGACTTATTTCTGGTGGAATGTGGCTGCCACGTGTAGCCAGGATGAGCAGCTCATGCTTCAATGTGGGAGTGGTGTTATCATTAATGGTGTCCATTATGAGAGTGAAGCGCAGTGGCCTGCGAAAAGGTAGTACCCGGGCTGCTGCTGCTGTGCTGCTTGGCGATGTGGGTGTTCCGGGTACATATTCTGTGGAGATGACTCCCAGTGCGAGCCAATCTAGTGAGCCGCCTGCTATTGGGGTCTTCACTGCGACCACTAGACCATGGAAGAGCAGCGCTCAACTTCTGCTTGTATTCTATCTGCTAATTCCTGGAAGATTTGGTATGGCCACCGTCATTGCATTATTTGTGTCCATAGTAAGAATAATCTGAATGATCAAAATGAAAATGCAATGCTGTCAATACACCATGTACTGTGGTAGAACGTGCAATATAAAGCCCAGAGGAGCACCTAAACGCCAAGAAATGAAGACCGGCTACGCAATCTTGGACCTCATCACGTGCAACGTCACCGCCCAAGCTCCCCATCGAGACAGCTGGACCAACCCCCCAGTCCCACCTTTGCTCTCTTCCCCATCCTTGCCTTTACTACTCTGAATTTCGCCCGTGGAGGAGTTAGATTCGCCATGGCCGACTTTATTGACCCCCGGATGTCCTCCATCAAGCCCCGATTCCGCTACAATACCATCGGAGGCATCAACGGACCGCTGGTTATCCTCGACAATGTCAGTTGGCATATGATATTCTGAAAATATAGTGGGAATTGTATGCTGATAATAACATTATCAAACAGATCAAGTTCCCCCGCTATAATGAGATCGTTTCCCTGACGCTCCCCGATGGCACAGAGCGCAGTGGTCAAGTGCTGGAAGCCAGAGGTCCGTTCCCCACATTCTGCCGTTTAGTATAGGAGTATGAAAGCTGACTGCTATGTATGAAATAGGAAACCGGGCAGTTGTGCAGGTGCGGAATAAATCCTCGCCCCTAACATACAAGACATTAATGTAGCTTTGTTTGTCAACTAGGTGTTCGAAGGCACTTCCGGTGTCGATGTGAAGAAGGTACAATTACCGCGGAAATGGTCTGGATATCAGATGTGCTGACAGATCGCTCAGACCAAAGTCGAGTTTAGCGGCCACAGTTTGAAGCTCGGCGTCTCCGAGGACATGTTGGGTCGAACATTCGACGGTTCAGGACGAGCTATCGATAAGGGTCCCAAGGTGTTGGCGGAGGATTACTTGGATATCAACGGCCAGCCTATCAACCCCTACTCGCGAGTATGCGCACTGGCACCGATATGAGATTGGCTACGGGAAGCTAACCAATTGATAAGGTGTACCCCGAGGAAATTATTTCGACCGGTATCTCCGCCATCGACACGATGAACTCCATTGCCCGTGGACAGAAAATCCCTATCTTCTCGGCTGCCGGTCTGCCACATAATGAGATCGCCGCGCAGATCTGTCGCCAAGCAAGTTTGGCTAAGCCCACCAAGGATGTCCATGACGGCCACGAGGAGAACTTCTCTATCGTCTTCGCCGCCATGGGTGTCAACATGGAGACTGCCCGTTTCTTCAAGCGCGACTTCGAGGAGAACGGTAGTATGGAGCGTGTCACTCTGTTCCTCAACTTGGCCAACGACCCTACCATTGAGCGTATCATTACTCCTCGTCTTGCGCTGACCACCGCCGAATACTACGCCTACCAGCTCGAGAAGCACGTCCTAGTTATCATGACTGACTTGTCGGCCTACTGTGATGCCCTGCGTGAAGTTTCCGCTGCCAGAGAAGAAGTTCCCGGTCGTCGTGGTTACCCCGGTTACATGTACACAGATTTGTCCACCCTTTACGAGCGTGCTGGACGAGTCGACGGCCGTAATGGTTCCATTACACAGATTCCCATTCTAACCATGCCTAACGATGGTGCGTTGGTCAAGCTACTCTTCAAGCTGAAAACCACTAACCCATACCCACGCAGATATCACCCACCCCATTCCCGACTTGACTGGTTACATTACCGAGGGTCAGATCTTCATTGACCGTCAGCTCGACAACCGCGGTATCTACCCACCAATCAACGTCCTGCCCTCTCTATCACGTCTGATGAAGTCCGCCATCGGCGAGGGCCGCACCCGCAAGGACCACTCAGATGTGTCCAACCAGCTGTACGCCAAGTACGCCATTGGTCGTGATGCCGGTAAGCAACCCATCCCAAAAAACCCTTCATTACATTGTTCCGTCCTTCCGCATCCTCCAAACACTTCTAACCACCCCAACCAGCCGCCATGAAAGCCGTCGTCGGAGAAGAAGCCCTCTCTTCGGAAGACAAGCTCTCCCTCGAATTCCTCGAGAAGTTCGAGCGCACCTTCATCAGCCAGACTCCCTACGAGGCGCGCACCATCCAGGAATCCCTCGACATCGCCTGGAACCTCCTCCGCATCTACCCCAAGGAACTTCTCAACCGTGTCCCCAAGCGCATTCTCGACGAGTTCTACGCCCGCCACGCCCGTAAGATCCCTAACAAGGATACCCGCGATAACTCGCATGAGAACCTGATCGACGCATGAGGTGGTGCTGTGTGTTGAGGTGAATCCTGAGTTTCGGCCTATGTTCAAGTAAACTATCACCAGGGGTTCTATCTTTTGGTGCGAGGAGGTGCAAGTGGAAGCCAGAGAGTCCTGGCGAGGGATTAGTAGGTCCCGTTTTTGTCGATGTCAATTGCATATACTCCTATCTTTTGTTCTTGTTGTGCGGCTGTTCGTATGTTTCTTTGTGTCTTTTTTTCTTTTGGTCTTTTCCTGCTCAAGCATGATACATTATCGAATCTATTTCAGGGGCTATCTGTGCTCTCTATAAAATGATGGGATGACCAGGTACGTCGATTTTATGTATAGTGGTTTGTAGATGGTAGATGATAGACTGTCAAATATACCATGGTCAGGGGGTTTCCTACCGATTCATCGGTCCAACTAGGCCTCTTAACAGCCAGTCCTCTCCTTGCTTTTTATAATGATGCCCTTCGAATAGGAACCACAGTAGCAGCGCCGGCGTGCTGGTATTCGCCAGTCTATTTGAAAACACCAGCAGGTAAATAGTTCGTTATTCCTTGTCGCCGGAGACAGTCCTCTGCGTTAAGCTGTTGGGATACTTACGCTCGGCCTTGAACATGTCATGTTTCGGGTTAAAATTAACCTCGCTGTCTTGATTGCTATAGGTCGATACCTATCTATACCCATGTAAAGGGGAGACTATAGCGCCAAAAGAATAAAGCCAAAGTTCAACTTGTTATGCCTGAGATACTCAAATGCCCGCTGATCGAAAAATAAAACAAGGAACGAAATCCCGACCTAGGACGTATCCCCTGTCGGCGAGCTGAGGTACCAGTCTGCAAGATTCTTAGACGCGACCGAGGTCTCCTCGGGGAAATTGTACACTTTAGTAGCATGTAGGACGAGGGCTTGACCATCGAAATAGGACTCGAAAGCGCGGACGCGCGTTTACCCATAAATGAGACCAGAAAGACCTGTAGAGTACTCGGTGTGTGGAAAACCTTTTCCAGGAATGTCTGTCATCCCAAAAGTTCCAAATTCAGGCTGCTCCATGCTGATACAAAGCCTTATAATGAGTGCATTCGCCAACACTATCGCACGTTATTAGCGGTTATACATGTACGTCATTAGAATAGCCAGGAAGCTTAGGGTAGTGATAATCTCACTCTTTTGAGTACCACAAGATCTCCCCTAGGCAGCCTTTCACCTCGTAGGGAATATAATATGACCAGCGGCCTGCAACCTGACGTGCTCGATGGGCAGGGCCCGTAAAACAGGTATCCTCACGTTCCACACTTGAGCGGACTTGGATAACAATGCTATTATCGGGCTCTAGGAGGCTGGAGTGTGGCGCGAAGAAGGAAGGCTTACGGTCCGAATCTTCTCTGTCAAGGGTCATGCGCTGTAAATTGATGTTCGATCCCTTAAGTTTCCACTTGTCAAGTGCATGCTCTCGAGTCCTGTCAATAGCGCGCTCTAGCTGTAGCAAGGCTCGGCGGTGAGCGAGATGCTCGGGCGATTCAGTAGGCTTGTATATTTGATATGTTTGAACTTGAACAAGGGAAGGGATGGTATCAATGGTATGGATGGGTTAGACGAGGGAGTCGGAGGGAGTTGGAGGGAGTTGGATGGGGTAGATTTAAATGCAGCACCGTAAGCGTCTTTCATGGTCAGCTGTGTTTGCACCAAAAGAAAGGATGCCTGTGGTGGAATTCGTTAGGTATAGAACTTGTTTTAAACTTGACTTTTATAAGGGCGACATAGTTAGTGTGACACTCTATTAGTCTCTAGCCTAAGGCTATCTATGGGTTATGAAGACAGTCCAGAAAGATGAAAACAAAAGACCGAGAAGGGATATCAATGGCTTTTTTTCTTTTTCTACTTTTATCCAAAAGAAATAGCCCCAAAAAAATGAAATGAAAGAGTCGGTAATAGTAACGCTTTTTCATGACCATCCATCCCGTAATATAGAGCATAAAGCATCAACTAATCATGAAACCTCTGGCCAGACAGAGGACCGAAAAAGAAAAAAGAACAGTGGGGAAATTTCATCCGGATGGAGAAAAGCGCTTAAAAGATGTTGGAAAGCGCTTAGAAGCGCAGATCCCAGCCGATCTTAGGTCCCAAACGAGGGAGTTCGTCGGCGACCTGCTGTACATCCTTGTCACCGCGACCACTCAGGTTGAGAACAATGTTCTGGCCCTTCTCCATGGTCTTGGCGATTTGCATCACGCCCCAGACGGCGTGCGAGGACTCCAGAGCGGGGATGATACCCTCGTGTTGAGCAAGAGCACGGAATCCAGCCAGGGCCTGACTGTCGTCGGCGGCGATAAAGGTAGCGCGCTTGGAATCCTTCCAGTTGCTCAGCTCGGGGCCGACACCGGGGTAGTCGAGACCAGCAGAAATCGAGTGGGTGTCGGAGATCTGACCGTGCTCGTTCTGGAGGACGTATGTACGTACACCGTGGAGAACACCGTGGGAACCACCAGAGAGGGTAGCAGAGTGACGGTTGGTATCGACGCCATCTCCGGCAGCCTCGACACCGATGAGCTTGACACTGGGGTCGTCGGAGAAGGGGTAGAACATTCCGGTTGCATTGCTACCGCCGCCGACACAGGCGATGACGGCATCAGGGAGCTTGCCAACCTGGGCCTGCATCTGCTCCTTTGTCTCGTTTCCAATGACCGACTGGAAGGTACGGACGATGGTTGGGAAGGGGTGGGGGCCAATGGCGGAGCCGATGATGTAGTGGGTGGTATCAAGTTCGACGACCCAGGCGCGGAGAGCCTCGTTGACTGCATCACGAAGGGTGCGGCTTCCAGCCTCGACAGCGACAACGGAGGCACCAAGGAGCTTCATGCGGAAGACATTGAGACCCTGGCGACGCACATCCTCAGCACCCATGAAAACGGTACACTTCATGCCAAACTTGGCGCAAACTGTCGCAGTAGCAACACCATGCTGACCAGCACCGGTCTCGGCAATGATGCGTGTCTTGCCCAGGCGACGGGCAATCAAAATCTGACCAAGAGCATTGTTGATCTTGTGACTTCCGGTATGGTTCAGATCCTCACGCTTTAACCAGATGTTGGCACCGCCAACGTGCTCAGTCAGACGCTGGGCCAAGTGAAGGCTGCTAGGACGGCCCATGTAGGGGTAGTACGAGCGGAATTCTTCCCAGAACTTTGGGTCGTTTTTGGCGACGTCAAAGCCGCGCTCGAGCTCACTCAAGCAATCCATAAGAGACTCCGGAACATACTGTCCACCGAACTCACCAAAGCGCGAGGGCTGGGAAGATGCATCCTTTGTGACGTTGAGGGCCTCAATCTGGTCAGCGAGACCAGGTCCGGTGGGGGTATCGGCATCGGTGATGACCTTGCTAGGTTGGACCTGACCCGAAGGCAGGGCCTTCTCAACGGCCTCGAGCACGTTGATCTCGCGGGTGAAAGCACCGGTGGCGTCACGCTCACGCTTGCGTCCGGTGATGCTAGAAAGATACTCCTCGGCCGCCTTAGCAGCCTGTCCAGCAGGGGCCTTGCCCACGCAAGTGATAATTTGGCTGCCAATGACAACACCCTCAGCCTGCTCCTGGACGGACAGGAAGTGCTCACGGGTGCTGACACCGAATCCCAATGCAGCAGGGACATTGCCGGAGTATTCGTGGACGCGGTTCAAAAGCTCGGGGATGTTTGCGCTCAATGAGCCGGTGGCACCGGTCACACCCATGCGGGAAACAACGTAAATAAAGCTGTCTGCGATCTTGCAGAGGAGACGCATGCGTGCATCGGAGGTGGCAGGGGCGATGAGGGGGATGTATGAAAGACTGAAATGGGGTAAGCATGCTGGTTCATCATAGACAAGTGATAAAGATTCGAAAATCAGAAGTAAAAATAGACAAACTCACCCAGCGCTCGAGCAGAGGTCGCGGAAACGGACAGCCTCCTCCGGGGGCAAGTCAACCATGATGAACCCATTGACACCAGCCTCCTTGCAGTCACGGAGCATACGCTCCTCGCCATACTTGAGGACAGGGTTGAAATAACCCATGAGCATCAAAGGAGTCTGCAGACCGCGGCTGCGGGCAGTGCGGACAAGCTCAAGGACGGTAGTGAGGGTGACACCGTTCTCAAGGGCCTTTGTGTTAGCAGTCTGAATAGTGGGGCCATCAGCGATTGGGTCTGTGAAAGGAATTCCAAGCTCGATGATATCTATAAAGTGAGACCGAATGTCAGTAAAGATCGAGCAAATTTCACTTTCACTTGGGGTTGAATTACCGGCTCCGCCGTTCTCGAGACCAAGGAGGATATCAACCGCCTCCTCAAGGGTGGGGTATCCTGCAGTAATGTAGGCAACAAGGGCTGCACGCTTCTGCGCCTTGCACTTCGCGAAGGTCTGTTTGATAGCTTCCATGATGAAAGGCGATGTGACAGTGGGGCAAAAGAGCGTGGTGATAAGAAGAAAGAAGAAGGGGAAGAGGCCAATGGAAGGCAAACGGTCCCTATATATATGTGCAGGGTTGGGATAAGTCACAAGTGAATTGTGAGGTCGGCAATGGGAGAAGATGATGTTATAAAAAGCAAACGATTTGTATGAGTCAAATGCAATTGCCCTTTTTCGAGGCCGGCTTCGCTGGGCCCCGCAGTTCACGTGTCATGATAAGATAGCAGGTCATGTGACCTTATCACAGGTGTCTATGTCCATGTATGTAGGGTTGGGTTTCTCACGTGATATTATTTACAACACTGATCAAGTCATTTCATCACTACGTTTTACACGAGACAAGGCTGATTAAGAATGATTGAAGAGAAAGTAACCTGGCGATCTGGAATTTAGCAACTATGACTCAGAACAGGTAATATTAAGGCAGACAAGTAGGATTATAAACGGTCCAACCGTTCAAGTCCCAAACGCCGGAACAATGCAGTAGGTAGTAAGTGACAACAACCCTCAGCTGAAATAACAAGAAGTGGTAAGTACCGAATGAACTCCGAACCAAATTTCAAACAGAGAAGTGAAAAGTAAACAGGGACCAGACAGGAGGACTCGAAACATGAAGAGGACTCCATGGTGTCAAGACATCCTTGCCCAAGAACCCCGTCCAAATGCACCAAGGAATTGGATAAAATGGACAAGACCGCCAAGATTCCAGAAAAAAAAGAAACCCCAATCTATCCCATTTCCAATCCGAAAATAACCCGCAAATGCAAAAGGAATGACAAGCAAGCGCCCGCTATGCTGGATGGTAGTACAAAAGCCCAGAATGTATGTTTTGTGCGCGAAAAAGGAGTGGAAGCTGCAATGCCCAGCATGTAAAATATGCACCCAAGGAAGGAATGAACAAGACACCGTCTAGATGCGAGGAACAGGTCTCAGAGTGGAACAAAGTCCAAAGAGTCGAAAAGCAGATATGCAAAGGTCGCAAGTTTGGGTGTATGGTGAGGGCATCAGGCATTATTATGTTGTACTGTAAGGAGGGACGTAAAATCATGATCAATGTGCGGGAGGCGAGGTCCAGCAGATCCAAAGGCTCTCGCAACCTTTTCAGGTGGAGAGAGACATTGTGTCCGATGGGCTGGCAAGCCGCTGTCTGGGCTTGGTAAGGAGTGACAAGAAAAGGAAAATCGTATCTTCAAAAAAGGCGGAGGGGAAGTATGGAAAATAGAATGGAAGGAAAACGCAGCAAGAAATCAAATAGAGGGACCAGCCAGGGGGATCAGTGGCCACCGGGGGCCGAGTCATGCATCGAGTACACGGGATCCAAGTAGGTATAGCATGCGCCGTTTCCTGGTGCGCCGGTGTGAGGGGTGTTGGGGCCAACAGGCTGCATTTCCCAAGATGGTCGCGGGGCCGGGGCTGTCAGACCGTGGGCACTCTGGGGGTGGCACATGGCCGGGTACGAGTATCCTCCAACAGAGGTGTAGGGCTGGGAGACTGCGGTCATGGATCGGAGGTCGGGGACCGAAGACAAGTGGGAGGCGGAGTGATCAGCCTGCGAGTAGGTCTGGACGGGCACACCAGTGTAGCTGTTGCCAGCACCAGCGTCGGAGATGGACTGAGGGGAGTTGGCAGTGTGGGGCTCGGTGCCGGAATCAGAACCAGTGCCAAGGCTAGGATGGCTGGCATGGCTGGTGTAGGTGGTGGTCATTGGTGTGGGGAGAGCACTGGCAGTTGAGGAATAGCTGGCAGACTAGAGAAAAGACCAAATATTAGTAACTCGTCAGGATGAGCTTTGGAATTCAACAACATACGTATTTCCCAATGATCTTCTTCAGTGCGTGGCTCAGGACCTTCCAGGGGAAGACCTTGACATCCTTCTCAATGTTGCGAGGCTTGGGAGCAGGGAAGCCCATGATGACCTTAAAGAACTCCTCGCTGTCGACCTTGGCCTTGGAGACTGTCAGGGGGCGGAAGCCCTCCAAGTTGCGACGAATACGATTCTTCTCTTCGACAGTGAACCGCACAGCCACGAGAGACTCGAGCAAGTAAATGGTATCTACGCTGGTCACGTAGCACTCATTCTTGTCCTCCCACAAAATGCAGCTGATGCAAATACTGCTCGGGGTGCGATCCTCAGGTGTAACAGGCTCGAACTCGCCCAGTATGGTGCTGCCAGTTTGAGAACGGGTGAATTGCACCAGGCGGCGTTGGGACGTGCGTTCTTCCTTCGACCAGCCTTGGGTCATGCTATCGAGATCACCGTTGAGCTTGAGGACAGCCTTGGTGGGATACATGGCATAAGGGTTGAAGGCTGGGTTGTGGGGCATGTTGTGCGTTTGTATGGTGGAGGTGCGGATCAAAGTGGGATTTGAAGAACCACGCTGGGTAGGACCCTTGTGCTGACGAACACCATGTGTCAAGGCGAGACCTGCATTGCGACCATCGTTGCTCATAGAGACGAAAGAGGGGCTCCAAGCTGGAGTGATAGGGGAAGGGACGCGGAGGGCGGGCTGGGGGGTGGCAGAGGAAGAGTACTGGCCAGAGCCGGTCTGGGGAGAGGATGCAGCATGGTAAGGTGCGGCGAACCCGGCCATGGCGGGAAGAGGCTGCAGGTAAGGCGAGTAAGATGCAGACACAGAGCGACTGTGGTAGCCCTCGTGGTGCTCGACCTTGGGGATCACGGATCCGTTGTGTCGCTTGGCAGGTGCCGCAGGAACATCAGAATATGAAGAGAACTTTCTCTTGCGGGAATCGGTTGATGGCGAAGGGTGGGCAACTTGCTCATAAGTGTACACACCAACCTGAAGAGAGGTCGCGGGAGCGTCATCCTGTGTCTCCATTGAGACGGACAGAGGAACAGCAAAAGATGGGGATCCAGTGGACAAGAATGCAGGTACATCAGCCGAAAGACCGTACTGGAACGCGGAGCCCTGGAATCCAAGGAAATGCGGGAGCGATTCACACTTCTTTGAGCCGAAAACAACATACAAAGCTGCATAGGAAGAAGCGTGGAGGTCGTAGGGGCACTGGATCTGGACCATCACCCTAGTTCCTTCACTTCCCCGCTGGGGGCTGTATGTCACAATTTCGGGTAGCTGACGGTGGCGTGCACCCAACATGGGTGACTGAGACTCTTCGTACGAGCTAGCATATTCGTTGGGCAGATACGGAACACAATCCGAGATCTGACTTGCTTGATCGGCCATGGGCGAGGGAACCATCGGGGTCGTCATATAAGGTGATTGACCGTAGTTCGAGTAGGAAGCAGCATCATGCAAAGACCGAGTGGAACCGTAATCTGTGTTTGGTCTCAGCACAAGGGATGTTCCCAAATCACGGCCAACCAAGTTCTTCGAATGCAACGTACCTAGTATGGCGCCGGCGACGGGCTTTTGGAAAGCAGACATGGACAAGATGGGCTCAGACTTGGCCCACAGGCCGTCTGAAAATGCACCGACAAACTGTGATTCTTCTGAGTCCGACAGATCCAACGACTCGCCGAGTATTAGAGGCGTTTGAAAATCCGGGTCGAACTGTGACGGAACAAGGAGAGACAGGTCAGCGGGAAGGTTTCGCGCACACGGAAAAGAGGCAATAGGGCAAGGGTTGAGAAGATTCAAACAGGATGCTGGGCTGGGACTGGAACACCTATGCAAAACATGCGGGCATCCACTAGGGAAGAGAGAGACAAGTCCAAAGCTGGGAATCTTACCAAAACACCGTGTGTCTTCGAGTAAGCCAGTTTGAAGATGTTGCAGCAAGTGCAACAAGACAGAACCTCTTGAAGCGAATGACTGGGAATTTATTCCAAACGATTGTAGGGTCGAAAAGCACGAGCAAGAGTAGAGTGCTCTCCGAGACAGAACGAGCGACAAGATGAAGCTGCTGTTGGTCTCACAGAAATGGCGGCAACAAAAGGCCTCGAATCACCATCCAGGAATAAACCACTAATGCTGAAACTAGGAACGGCTGGCTGCAGGAATAGACTCAAATCTCGACCGCAGTGCCCAAAGGTTCATAGAGAGAAGCGGAAGAACTAGTCCTTAGCAGAAGACGTAGGAATGTCCACCGCCAATTGTGACGGGAGGAGACGAGATTGGTTGGAGGATGACGAGCAACGAGCGTGGACTGGAGAGGTTTCGCTTTTGTTTCATCCGCGAGATGTTTCGGGAAAAGCCTCAAGCAGATTGGGCCACGATGAACAAGATCAAGAGGATAGGCTACTCAATTAATGAGTATACGAGAACGTGTTCAGACTATGGGAACCGGATCGGTGCATAGGGGGAATGAACTCACCGAGATGAATCAAAGTGAAAATGAGAAAGGTTCTGATCTGAGACCAAGTTCTGCTGTTGACCTTCCAAGATAATATGCAAGATCCGAGGGTCGTCAAACCTGAAGGAGAGTCTAATGTCAACAACAAACACTTGACAATAGCGGGACGGGAAAGCTATCCGACGGCTTCGACAACTATCGTCATTTCCAGTCGTTGGTATAGTCCATAGAACACAAATTCCCTGCAAGGAGATAATACAAAAGATCAAGAGCCAAAAGAGGAAGTATGCAAGGCACGAGGGGAACAAGTGAGACCGTGGGCAAAGGGAGGGGTGCACATTGATACTAACCTTAAGCTGATGAACCGATCTGCCTGAATAGTTCCTTTCTCGTATCAATATTTTCTAATGACTCTGAGACCCTTCCAAACAGAGGCGATTCCGCTAGATTTCTGGTCTTCAGCCGAGACAATAGAGCGAACGATTGGTTGAATTTCACAATATCCAGTTGTCTCCAATATCCAGTATCCAGTACCCGGCTAGTATAGCCTGTGGCAGGTACAAAAGCCCGAAGAGAATCCTCTTTTTTTTTGCGCGAAAGGTTGGACGTTCAACTGAGACCGCGGAGCAAACGGGATCTACAGAGATATCGCGCAAACGCAGTGTCGGGCAAATGACACTTTATCGACCCTTCCACCA